TACTTTCAAAGGCTTATTAACAGAGTTGTTGCAGGATTGACTAATCATGCCGTCTACATAGGTGACTTAGTGATCTTTAGCCATTTGTGGAAAGATCACTTGGAGCATTTGGCAGAGCTCTTTGAGGGACTACAAAAGGCAAAGTTGGTCATAAACTTGGCAAAAGCAGAATTTGTAAAGGCGGAGGTGACATTCTTAGAGCATAACATTGAATACAGACAGATGACACCAAGGAATGTGAAATCGAAGGCCATCGAGGAATTTCCAAGACCATCCTTGAATCATAGAATGCCTACAGTGTGGAAACAGGCCCTTCGGCCCAATAAGTCCACACCGACTTTCAGAGCATCGCACCCAGTCACATCCCCTTACCCTTTTCCTGTAACCCACCTAATCTACACAACCCTGAATGCTATGAGTAATTTAGCATGGCCAATCCATCTAAACTGCACATCCGTGGGAGGAAACTGGAGCACCTGGCGGAAACCCACACAAACACCGGGAGGATGTGCAAACTCCACGCAGACAGTCGCCCAAAGGTGGAATACAAACCTAGGTCCCTGGCGCTGTGAGGCAGCAGTGCTAACCACTATGCCACTGTGAAGGAGGAAGTGCTATGATTTTTAGGATTGAGTGGATTCTACAGGAAATTCGTACCAAACGTTAGTAGTATGGTGGCACCATTGACGGATTTGTTAAAAAAGAACACAAAATTTCGGTGGACAGACGAATGCCAGGAGGCACTTGAGAATTTAAAAGCAGTGCTAACTACCACACCAGTTTTAGCCACACCAAACATTTTGAAACTGTTCAAAGTCACCATCGATACATGTGATGTAGATGTTAGAGTTGTGTTGTTATAGGAGGATGATTGTGGAATTGAAAGGCCAATCAGTTATTACTCAAAAAAAACTCAATATCCACCAGAAAAAATATTCAACCATTGAAAAGGAGTTATTGAGTATGATAATGGTCTTACAACATTTTAATGTTTACTTTGCAAACAATGCATCGAGACTATTGTGTATACCGATCACAATCCTTTGACATTTCTGGAAAGATTCAAGGACAAGAACACCAGATTATTTCATTGGAGTCTCATGTTACAAGCATTTAACATATCAGATTGTACATGTTGTGGGTCGTGAAAATATTATTGCGGATGCTGTTTCACAAAGTTAAAAGAAAAATATTTATGTAGGTTAGAAGCGATAGTGTTCAAATGTTACATAGAATTAGTATAAAATGTGTAACTCTAGATTAATGAGCTATGGATCTAGTAATATAATGTAATAATCTAGTGATAAGGTTTTAAAAGAAAAAAAGAAGTCAAATTTTCATAATGATGGTTCATTTTTTCCTTAAGAGGGGAGGTGTTACAAAGTTGGTTAGAATACATATGGTTTGGGAGGCAGGAAGTAAGAATTTGGTGTTTGTAAAATGCTAGAGCGGGGAAAGCATTGCCTGGTCCCTTTAAGAGATAATATCCTTTTAAATGCCTACAGATTCAAAAAAAGCCTGTGAGCAGCAGCTTGAAAGAGAGCACTCGAATTGAAACATTTGTATCCGAAGGCTGTACTGTTAGCAGGCCAAGTAGCAGATTTTACGAGACAACAGGTCTTGAATTTAGCCAATCAATTTGAAGCAGGCACTTAGATACCAAAAACCAATTAAATTTAAATCTGATGGTTTTGACAACATAGGACCAATCCTATTGTAAGAAATTGATATATCATCAAGGGTATAAAAGCAGGGGCAGTTGGACGTAGACAAGAGCACTAACTGCCACCTGCCAGAGTTAACAGCCCTCAGCTCTCAAGAGAGAATCGCTGGCTCTCACAGACTCCCCTAAGATTTAAAGAAAGTACCATCTAAAAAAATAAAGGTACCTATGGCACAATTAGTTAACATTCCTGACAGAAGAATCAATGGAGAAGGCACAGAGCATTCTGGAAGACACGTAATCTGGCTGTAATTTCGAGAGACTAAATTCTATTTTTAATTTTATCTTATATAAGTGGGACTTATATTTATTGGAACGGCATACTATTAGAATCTGGTTTTATTAGGGAATAGTTAGCAGTTAGAAGGGACTTATTGGGTTTGTTAGTAGTTTAGTTAATTTGTTCACTGTTAGAGTTAGATAAGTACATTACTGCTTGTTGACTGTAAAGTGCGTGTCAGGGATTTATTTTATTTTATCAATGTGGTGCCATGGTGGTTGTGAGAGGTTAGCCAATGTCCGAGACAAGGAGTGCATGCAGTTGTTGCCCATGGACCATGCCCTGAAATGTTGTTTGCTCCTGGGTGTAAAGGAAGTCCTTTGGAATACGTGATGAGCTGAAGGCAGCTGGTACCTGTTCAAAGTTCCATGTTGAGATTTCTCAACATCTAGCTTGTTTGGCATGCTGGGCAAGATAGGAAACTGAATATTCATGAACCATGTTGGATTATAAACAAGGTGTTTGTCATGCTATAATTTTCTTTAATTAACAATTGCCACTGCCCAGTGAGAAACTTAGTTCGCTGCTGAGCAAAAATGTAAAAGGTGGCGTGAGATGCTCCTGAGATAGTAAGACCTGCCGATGCTGGAGTCAGAGATAACGCAGTGTGGAGCTGGAGGAACACAGCAGGCCAGGCAGCATCAGAGGAGCAGGAAAACTGACGTTTCAGATCGGGACCCTTCTTCAGAAATGGGGGCCTAATGCTCCTGATGTTGAGATAGGCATCACTGAAATTCCTGTCCAACCCCAAAACTCCCTGCATAGCCCAAATTACTTACACTGTTATAAGATTCCATCCTAAGTTTCTCCGAATGAACAGGCCTGGCTTTTTAATCTTATATGAACAAACCTGGATTACTTTTGCTGTTCCTCTTTCATCACCACAGTGGATATTGGAATACAACATCACAGCAGGACTCTACAACATATTGCAGCCATCCTCTCTGTGCTGTCAAGGCAGATTTTCCACAGTGCCCAGAAAACCTGCCATAAGTATAAAAATGATCAATTTTACAAAGCCAGCCGGGTGGTATGAGTCAGAACCTGCCCCATGTTGAAATTGCACTCTATTCATGAAAGAAGCACACATCAATCGTTTTCTTCAACTGTTAAGGAACAATCTTATATCTCTATTAATTTCCTTCCATCAACATTCTCTATAGTCAAGGCTTAATAAGAACTAATGTTGAAGCTTTCACCACTGAATAAAATCTCAAGATCTGCCACTTTACTTCTGACAGTCTTCCCAGTAGTTTGATAGACAACAATGAATTATAGGACAACTGATCAAAATCAGTTACACCTAGAATTTTCAACTATCCGCTATTCCTTTCCCTCCTTCTGTGAGCTTATCTGTTTATCAGTGGACCTTTACTTTCCTGTATATTCTATCCTTTTCCCCCATCTGTCAAGATACTCATTAATATATCCAATCTGTTTCTCCCTATGGAAGCCAGTATGTAGCACTGAAAGTAATCTCGAAGACTTGTTCTTTAATTTTCCACCACCATCACAAATTCAGTCCATGAGACCTCTATACTACTCTTTTCATCTGTTGACTCCTGCCTGAGTCATCTTTTCTGCTGTTGTTTCTCACATTTTAACAGTATTCGTACATTCTGTTAACTCCCTTGTGCTTATTCTTAGGAGGCAACTCACTTTTGAGTGCCAGCTTGAAAGTCTGCCAGGGTGATCAAATCATCTTGAACCACTGCGGTACTTATCAAATTGCTAAATGACATTCTCTGAGGCTGTGACAAAGATGTACTATTCCTCCTTGATCTTCTTGCCACATCTGCAAATTTTCACAGGGGTAGCCGTGCCATTCTCTTCTATTGGTCAGCTACATAGGATGGGCTTGTTGGATTGTTAACTATTTAACTGTAATCGGAGTATCACCTGAAATGGCCTCTCTTTCTGTTTCTGCAGTAACATCAGAGCTACGCTCTTGTGAGGGATCATTAACAGGCTTTGTTAAACATAACTACATGCAAGGATTGATAAGAAAGGACGTCTTCTGGAACCCAGACTTAACATTGGTCCTGAGTACCTCTGACTGACTAGAATGACATTGAAGTGAAGAAAGGGTGGCAATTGTGTAGTTTTGATGCAGATAGTTAAATTTTTAGGCTTCTGTAACATATAAACCTGACAGGAAGAGGATAATTTAGTGAAGCGCGACTCCTAGTGCAAGACTCAATGAGCATGGATTTGAAAAGTAAGTCTCTGCCTACAACCATGCTAACCACTGGTGAGGTGCTCTCTCTCTATACATATATCAAGTGTAAATATTGGCAAACTTTCCCTCAAAGGGTATGTGGCCAGGGCCTTCTGTTTTGGGATCATAAGCTTGTGATTGCTCCTGCATTAAAATAATGGCAGGAAATTATAGGTTGACAAGTAGTGAAATAGAAAACTCTAGTCTGTATTTTTTACGTTACATTTAAAACCCAGGAACACGGCTAAAAATTAACAGACGTCAGTATTTCCCAATCCTTTTCTTTCTCTGTTGTTCCTCCCAGTAGGGAATTATATATGCACCACAAAGAAATGTATGTGATTGGGGCACAAGGAGTTGTGAGAGGAGCTACAGCTAACTCTGATACTTGTCAGGGAACACCAGTATATGGAAAAACCATTAATACTGGGAAACAAAGGTACTGGTCATTGTGAAGCTACGTTTTGAAGTGTACAATTTGAGTTGGATCGTTATGTTTCAGTCACCACCTTTAGTGGTTTTTCCCTTTTGGGTTTCATGACACAAAGTCCAGCAATTAGGACTGAGATTTCAGGATGATTCTTCACTTTTCCCAGCCCTACCTACCGAATCTGTGAATTATATTTAGTGGAATAATTGCCTTGTTAAAAATGAGATTCTTCCTTTACTCTGATGATTGAACTCATGTGCACTTTAGCCTTTAACAATGAAAGGTTTGTTCACAAATCTGTCACTCTCTGACCAGGTATCTCTTCTCTCTTCCCTTTTGCCGATCACAGAGGCGCAGTCCAGTGAGTATCCCTTTATGTTGTGATTCATTTATTTAGAATGCTTCAATTGTTGTTCATTTTGAAATCATTTGGTTCATTGGGAGAGGGGGTTTTCAATTATAATGTGTTTGTTGCTTTGGAACACAACTTACTTAAAGCTACTGTAGACTCAACAGAAATTAATGCTGTTTAGATTCTTCTCATGTACTACTATGTTGCATTGCTTGCCAATGTATAATTTTATATTGTTGCGTTAAAGAGTATATATAATTTCAAACCACTTTAAAATAATAACCTTATTACAAATGACTTAACTAATGGCCTGCAGTTCTTAAGGAGTTTAAACAAACAGTCACATAACAAAATGACAACAGATCTCATTTGGTATGACAAAAGCATCTTATTTCGGGATTTTTAATTGGAAGATGAGTTGGTGAATCTTTTGAGTTCTCACCCCTTTTCTCTACAATTACCTTGCTACAACCTCTTGTTCATTTATAAGGCGAGAGAATTCTTTTCTGTTCATTGAAGTTCTTTTCATTTGTTCCCAGGACAGGAGCAATGCTGACAATGAACAATTATTGCTCATTTTAATTTCTCCAATGAACTGGTCATGAACCTTTACCTGAACAATTACAGCACTTGTTCAGAAGGAAAAAAATGCCTGCAATGTACAATAGATACAATGTGAAATTGCCTCTTTTACATGACTACCCAAAATCAAAATTACCACCTTATGTCAGTGTGAGCCTTGAACATATAATTTATGATTTTAGTCTTTTGTTCTAAATCTTTTATATGGTAAATAGGGAAAACCTTTGGTGAATCATAAAGAACTGCTGACTTGTTTAAGGCAATCCACAGAAAATCATTTTGAAATGTATTCTTATTGAGAGAGACAAAATCAAAAATGATTTATATAGATTTTTGAACTATTTCTTTTTTAATTTCTACCTGACTACATGTCCATATTAGCCTATGTTGAGCCTGAAAAATATTTTTGACAGGAAGTCTAATTCTCCAGCTTATTCTGTATACATGATACACAAACCAAACCTCGAATCTCTATTCAACACAGATAATTTCTCTGCTTTTTGCTTCTTTTGTAATCTCTTCTCTCCTGAAAGTACACAAGTCAAATTCAATTAGTCTTGCCAGGCAGAGGTACAATTACAGTTTGAAGAATTGAGGAGAGTGGAGGCAATTCTGGAAATTAGAACAAGAATGAGATATAAACCATAGCAAGGTTGACCAACTCAATAATCTCTCCCTTCTATCCCTCTCTCATCCCCCTCCCAAGTAAATCTCCACCTCTGCTTGTAGCTATTGTACAAGGAGATTCATCAGTGAGATTCTAACCCTATCATAAACTGAAGTTTTGTTTCTGGGGTTCAAATTGCAATTTCAGTTCTAGTTTAAACTTAATCTGAGGGACTTTTTTTAAAAATTTCAGCCTCTTCTCCACAAACTGATAATCTTGTTGCTTCTATGGGCATATGCATCTCCATCCCTGTTCCTAAGCCAAGTGGCCATGCTTCTGTTGTCAGCAGACTATCTTGTCCTCAACCTGTACTACTGAATAGGGTAAGGGGTAAGAATCCAGGCCCACTGAAAAACTTGATGGTGCATGTAATGTGAGAAGTTTTCTATTCAGCTGTAGATAGAAGAAGAAGTAAGTTGCATTTATATACCACCTATTATAATTTGAGGTTATTCAAGCCAATTAACTAGTTTGGCTCTGCTGTCACTGTTATGTTCTGTGCCCGTCTGTCTCTCTCTACTTCACCTGATGAACGACCAGTGCTTTGAAAGCTCGTGATTTTAAATTAACCTGTTGGACTATAACCTGGTGTAGTGTGACTTCTGCCTTTGTCTACCCCAAACACCTGCATCTCCACATCATGGTCACTGTTGTGACATAGGGAATGGAGCAGTCAATTTCCATAAAGCATGATCCCCCCAAATAGCATGCAAAAAATGGCCAAACAATCAGTTTTAGAATTGTTGATTGAGAGAAAATTATTGGCTACCAAACAGCACTCCTCTGCTCTTTATTGAATAGTGTCATGGGATTTTTTTACTCCTATTCCAGAAAAGGATTGAAGCCTCAGTTTAATATCTCAACCAAGAAGTGGCAGATCTGACCGGGTAATACTCCCTTAATACTGCATTGAGTTGGCTGTGTAGATTATCCCTTAAAGTGCCCACAATGGGACATGAACTCACAGGAGAAAAGCACATTACAATTGAGTCAAGGCTATTAAAAAGTACAGTAAAGGAAAGAAAGCACTTATTCAAAAGCAAGAGGAAATTTCACCCCAATTCTAAACGCAAATTCCTTCCGTTGAAACACAGATGAAACCTGAAAAGTCTATTCTACCACAACTTCTACTCGGCTCTGTAATTGGCACAAGATTGTCATCATATAGGCAGACCAGCCTGTTTTTGCTTTTATGTTTTTTTAAAAAATCCCAGAATTTAATATATTTTCTATTTCTTTCCAGGCAATTATCAAAAGGAATTTATCCAGTAAGTTGTTATTATTATTGTCATTAATGAACCAAAGTGAAGGGTGACAGTGTAGCAGAAGTGTTACTGGTGAAGGGAAAAGCAAGATTCTGTTAGTGATATTTGGTGATAAGGAGGCTCTCAGCTATGATTTCAAAAAAAAACTGTAAATAAGCAGAAAGAACTACTGAGAGAGGTAAGCTCCTGAATTAATAAATTAGAAATTGTAAAATCACCAATCCCAATGTCGACATTTGGAAATACAGAGAAGAGGATCAGCACATTGGATGCCATCTTGGCATCTTTAGGAGGACCAAAAGAAAGGAACATCTAAAGGAACAGAGAGACGTAGGGTGCAGGTACATAGTTCCTTGAAACTGGCATCACAGGTAGGCAGGGTGGTGAAGAAGGCATTTGGCTCTCTTACCTTCATCAGTCAGAGCATTGAGTACAGGAGCTGGTACGTCATGTTACAGGTGTACAAGACATTGTCAAGGCCACATTTGGAGTACTTCATACAATTCTAGTCACCCTGCTATAGGAAGGATGTTATTAAACTGGAAAGGGTGCAAAACAGATTTATAAGGATGTTACCAAGACTGAAAGGTTTCATTTATAAGGAAAGGCTGGATAAGTTGGGAAATTTTCCCTGAACCATAAAAGGCTGAGCTGTTTAGAGGTTTACAAAATTGTGAGGGGCATATATAAGGTGATTAGCCAAGATATTTTCCCCAGGGTAGGTAAGTCCAAAACTAGAGGACATGTGTTTAAGGTGAGAGGGGAAAAGGAAGCTGAGAATGAACTTTTTCACACAGAGGGTATGCGTGTATGGATTGAGCTGCCAGAGGAAGTGGTAGAGCTGAGTACAATTGCAACATTTAAAAGACATTTGGACAAGCACATGGAAAGGAAAAGTTCAGAGGGATATGAGCCAAACACAAGAAAATGGGACTACACAGTGTGGAGCTGGAGAGCACATTGGGCTAGGCAGCATTGGAGGAGCAGGAAAGCTGATGTTTCAGGTTGGGACCCTGAAGAAGGTCCCGACCCGAAATGTCAACTTTCCTGCTCCTCTGATGCTGCCTGGCCCGCTGTGCTTCCCAGCTTCACACTGTGTTTATCTCTGACTCCAGCACTGGCAGTTCTTACTATCTCTGAGAAAATGGGACTAGTTCTGTTTAGGAAAACTGGTCAGCATGAACGAGTTGGGCCAAAGGGCCTCTTTCCGTGCTATATGCCTCTATAATTATATGGCTGTACAAGCAATGATTGTACTGGTATCAGCAATAAATTAGAAATGAACATTACAAAGGGAGAGAAGGATCAGAGAAATATGCTATCAATTAACAAGTTTTGATTTTCTTCATTATTTAGTGCTGCTTAAGACATTATTTGTGCATAAAAGCTTGTTTTTAAGTGAACACAGGCTGCTATGTATTGATATATTACAGAATTTAATTTTATCTTCTTTTCATATTACACATTGAGAAATTAATTATTTAATGTATGGCATCAAGGACATTTGAATAATTAATACAGATAAGTTTTAAATCATTATGTTTTATTTTTTATTCTAAATCCTTTGCATGGAGAAAATAAATTGTTTTTTGTGCAGGCGAAGAAATAGCTCGACCAAGACGGTCAACACCCACATCAGAAGTTGTCAGGTTGGTATAAATATTCATTTAATCCCCTGAATCTGTCTAGGAAGCACTAGTGATAGAACCGAGTACGTTTTCTTCCCCTATCATCCTCCTGAAGATAGAATTTTTTTCCATTGAATTAAAACAGAAATTGCTAGAAATATTCAGCAGACTATGCAGCATTCATGGAGTGTGCAGGAGGAGGCATGATCATTGGGTTGGAGGGGGAACATTTTTGGTCGGTGTACCCTCATCAGCTTCCCGATATGACATTGGTGGCATTGTTAAAATAATTGACAATTATGTGGGGCAGGATGGGCCCAATTCGGAAACCCCACACACTGGTAATAGGATATCATTGAGGCTATTTAATTGTTCAGCTGACACCAAATATTTTTGAGTGCATTGAAGTTCAGCAGTAGTTTGAAAGGGATTGGCCTCACTTGGGGGAAAATGGGGGCATCCTCATTGACAGGTAATCAATGCCTAATCGTGGCATCCAACTTCAGGACAGATGGTGGTTGAAAATCATTCCTCTGCTAAACCCATCTCCCGTCCTTCTCAGGTGAACTTTTACCTACACCCCCATTTCACCTTGCTCACCTATGTCCAGTGATTCACAACTAGGCCTCGGGATGTTACCACTGATAGCCTTGGCTCTCTGTGGTGCTGCTGGCTTTGGTAAGCTGTTCTCAGGCTGGGATTTCACCCTGCTGGGGAGCTTGTCTGAGTGGAAGGTCTAGCTCTGGACAGCTAAACACTGGAGGGCAAGAGGTTTTATTGAGTCTTCGCACAAAAGCAACATGAGGCAGCCACTAGTCTTCCAAGTGGGCACCAGCTGCTAGGATTAAATTTCAGCCAGCATTTTGGATCACTGACATTTCATTAGACCATAAGATGTAGGAACAGAATAGGCCATCATTAAATTTGTCACAATTTTAAATAAATTAAATATTCTTTTGCATTTTCTCAGTTTTTTTATCCATTTAACAATTATGGCAAGAAAGGGAATAAAAGTCAGTACGCCCAGTATAACATAAAAGTTGTTTGCCATGTTTCACCTCACTGAGTTTGCAACAAAACTTTGCCACCATAATATTAATCCCAGGCAGGTTTAGTGCAGCATATTCAAGCTTTTATCCTAGTACTCTTTGGGGAAATTTTAGGTACTGGGTACTTTGTTGACAAGTGTGTATTAGATGCCACAAAATTGAAGGTCATTTCTATTTTCAATCAATCTAATCAAACTTGGAAATGTTTTTATTTGTTGAAACTGGAGAACAAAAAACAGTGGTGTAGTGCCCATGAGGCCACAACTTGTCACAGAGTCTTATTCCCCTGGTAAGAAGATACTTTTGCTGTTGTGTGATCAGCACTTGTCAGCTTGCTCTCAACTATAAATGTTTAGTGAGCCTATAAGCAACAAAATATGTTGTGAATTATAGGAGCTAATCCCAAGAGCAACATAAATCAAATAGTGCCAGACATGATTGAAATATTCCACCATTCCTCTTTAAGACTTTTTTCTTTTTCTTGCTACATTCAATCTCATTGCTTATAATCCACAGTTAAAGGCATTAATGTTTTAAGTCTAGTTATTACTATTCATATTATTCAATCTATACAACATGAAATGAATTGATTCAGAAAATGCTTTTGAGTATAAACTAACATCCAGTTAAAAGTTGGTTTATAACTCAGAAATTGTGTCAAATGTGAGAAAGTACTTTTTTGATTTACAACATAAGATAAAATAAATATGAAAATAATCAGTCCAATTTACTGTTCTGATTAATATCCTTAGTACAATAATTGCAAAATATTTGATTTGAAGCTTCCTACCTTAACAATTTTGCCTACTAATGATGCCCCTGCATATATGGCCATCGGACCTGCCTTTCTGTTCATGATGACAGTATCTTGTTAGGGGTAGGATTTAATGCTGTTCAAGCTTCTGACTTCCAATTTCAGAAATACACAGAATGCTCAAAACAACCAAGTTATCCAAGCTGCAAGTGAAAGATTCTGTTAGAACCAAAGGACTCGAGGATTATGTTTCATGTAGTTTTGTATTTCTCTTTCCCCAATGCAGATGTCATGACAACTGCCCAATCTGCCACATGGTTTAATCACTGAATCAATCACAGAATTGTTACAGTGCAGAAGGAGGCCATTCAGTGGATTATCCCTGTACCGGCTCTTCAATCGAGCATCATTACCTAGTGCCAATCTCTTGCTTTTCCCCATACTCTTGGTGCTATTCCTATCCAAATAATCATCCAAAGCTCTCTTGAATGCCTTAAATCTTGAGGTTACAATATGAATGTATCAATTCAGACCTAAGACCATCAACCCTAGGTGCAATGAGTCTGAAGAGTCCTCAGGATAACATTTGAGCAGGGCACCGTCTAGCCCTATGTTCGTCAACAAAAGATTAATGAGAGGCATTAATTTTGTCTGACCAAGATGTAGTGATTCTCAGTTGCTTTTAACTTCTTTTTTATTCACCTCTAATTATGTATTCCTTCTTTCTCATTTTTTTTCTCTTCTCCTAGTAGTAAAAAGGTGCCAGAGGATACAGCATCTCTGATTCCACTCTTTGGCCCACCATTGGAGTCTGCTTTCGAAGGCATTACATCAGAAGGTACTTCACATACAATGCCTGAACCAACAATAAATGCATCTGCATGTGCAGGGTGTGATAATGTAAAGTACATTACGGCATGCCATATTTTCTTAACGCATAGCTCTTCATGTTTCTTGATTGCAAAAAAAACCTTCAAGTTTACAGTTCAGCTTTCACTTCCACCATGCAGAACATTTGGTTAATATTTGACATTTTTAGCTTGATGTGTCCTTGTTGAAGTTTTTGTTTACTTAGTACAATACAGACACATTTATCAGCACTGACTTCCACTGAGGGTACAAGGATAAAAAAAAGCTGCAAATTCTTGTTAGCAATCATGAGAGAACAGCTTTGAGGATGAGAAGTACAGCTTTCCAAATAAATAATAGATAAAGTCATGAAGACAAAGTTAAAATCAGAGCATGGGTGTGCAGTGGTGTGCAGAGCTTTGATTAGATGTGATTAGAGATAAATACTTTTTTATATCTTGTATGTTTTCATCTTATTGGTATTTTTCGGACATGTAATTATGATATTCAAAACCTAGTTCAATCACAGAAAATAATGCATCTTATTACTTGCACAGCCCAAGATTATTTATGCACAGGTGGGAATTGTGTGATCTCAAGAATGCAAGTTGAAAATTCCAATGAGGGGTTTTAAAAACTTAACATTTGTGTGACATCCAATACACCAAGCAGATGGAGGAGTCACCAGCCTTTACCTAAGACACATGTTGCCTTGCTGGTCAGTTATTTCTGAATGGTCTGGATGCTCCCACTTCCAAGATTTATGTTAAAATGTTAGACATTGGTCCCTTGCTCAGTGATAATGTTCTTCACCTGGGTAGCTAAGCACCAAACAATCCAACAGAAATGGGCAGCTGGGTGACCAAGCCTGAGTAATCCTCTCAATGACCGAGCAAACTGCAGCAAGGCATTCGGTATAATTCTGGCTTCACAGCTGTGATCAAGACATCTTGTGACACATGACTTCTGGTGATCTGTAGAGTTTATGGAATCTATTAGTTATAAAATGTAAGGCTTATACAGTGTAATTATGCCCTGTGTTAATTTGCTGGCTGACTTTGTCCATATCTTAAAGCTGTCATTGATCAACCTGAGATCTGGGGGCCATTCGAAGCCATTGACTCCGAAAGACGGTCATCTTTGTCGACTCGGTCATTTCCTATTGGAAGTAAGTGGACAGCAAACACATACATTCTGCAACAAGATCATTCAAGTTCACAGAACAAGCATTTTAACTGAATGTGTAATTAAACAATTATTAACATGAATGTACAAGTTACTGGTAAGTAATAGACACCAACATAAGATGGCCCATCCTGTCTTACAGTTAATTGAGTTGTTATTTACAATTGCAATATATCCTTAATATCTCTTCAGTTTTTGTTTGCTGTAACTTTTTTCAGTTCATGTTTTGGAATTGAACTACTCTTCAGAGACACATTGTTGAGTGTTGATAGATACCACAACCTCAATTGACACAGCCTACAAACACATAATTCATCCTGAAAGTATAATGAAAGGCACACTAACCCCATGATGTTTGAACAGATGAATGATTTTGAGTCCTTTGTGAACAACTATGTAATTAGATTTGAAACATTTGCTCAATGGGGACAATTTAATTTTTCATTCTAACACAGTCAGGGTAGTAAGTGTGGAGCAGTTTGCTCCAACAATGTATCTCTGACTAAACAAACGTTTGCCGAGCTGCTCTAATGACATTTCCGGCATTGCTGCTGTATTTTTTGCGTTAATGCTGTAGTCTTTGGACACTGGTGTTTAACAACACCAAGTTTTGTAGGCCTGGTAACCGCTTTGCGGAACACCTATGCTCGGTTCGCACTAAACAACTGCACTTCCCAGTCGCGAACCATTTCAACTCCCCCTCCCATTCCTTAGACAACATGTCCATCCTGGGCCTCCTGCAGTGCCACAACGATGCCACCCGAAGGTTGCAGGAACAGCACCTCATATTTCACTTGGGAACCCTGCAGCCCAATGGTATCAATGTGGACTTCACCAACATTCAAAATCTCCCCTCTCCCAACCACATTCCCAAAACCAGCGCAGCTTGTCCCCATCTCCCTAACCTGTCCTCCCTCCCACCTATCCCCTCCTCCCACCTCAAGCCCCCATCTCCTACCTACTAACCTCATCCCGCCCCCTTGACCTGTCGGTCCTCCCTGGACTGACCTCTCCCCTCCCTAACTCCCCACCTACACTCACCTTTAGTGGCTCCACGCCCGCCTCTTTGACCTGTCTGTCTCCTCTCCACCTACCTTCTCCTTTATCCATCTTCTATCCGCCTCCGCCCCTCCCTATTTATTTCAGAACCCCCTTCCCCTCCCCCATTTCTGAAGAAGGGTCCAGGCCTGAAACGTCAGCTTTCCTGCTCTTCTGATGCTGTTTGGCCTGCTGTGTTCATCCAGCTCTACACCTTGTTATCGCAAGTTTTGTAAGGTCTTTTTGACTGTGTGATTGAGTTAAACTCAGGACCTAGAGCTGGCGATGTAACCAGAATCAATGATTTTGTCAGACTAACGTTCTTTGGTAACCCAAACAAATAACTGGAACAACTGCACAGCAGAATTTATTGCATTTTGTTTTAATGAGGAACTCATTCTTCATGGTTTACTGTCCAGAAGCATGATTATACCAAAGTTGCACCAGCCTAACTCTCCATTGGCGTTGTGTTGGCAGTCGCTGAAAAGCTTGCCTATAGCACTTAACCACCAAGGTGCCACAAGTACATTGACTTGTATCACCAATCAATAAATAGAAAAGATGAAAAATTGCATATTTAACAATCGCACGACACCCTAAAGCTCTATATAGCCAAACATGTTTTGAGGGCTAGCCATAGTAGTAATGTAGGAAACAAAGTAGCAATTTGTGCTTGGCAACAAACTGCAGCAGTTGATGACCAGATAATTTTTATTGGTGATGGTTGAGGAATTCGACAGTAGTTTTTGGAGCCAGCAGATATACCTGTATCAGCTCACCAATGCCTTAGCAATTATGTCTAGCCAAAAGTAGCTGTGCTTACAGCTATCATGAAATAAACCTTCATGTTTTCTGACAACAGTGTCTCTCCTCTCCAGACTGCACAATAGTGTATCCTCTACCAACAATCACTAGATAGTCTCTGGACAAGGGAGGATTGGTGACAGCGAACTGCCTCAAACAAAGTTTACCCAGTGCCACAAACTGGTAGAGGTAGCAAATAACTCAAGCTACCAGGAGCAGTCATCTGAGAAAATATCATATGCAGCAATTTTGCATACCCACAGTTAAGTTCTAAGATGTCACATGTACAGTTTTTGTAGGAAAGTCCTGTGAAGTCAGAATTCCTGATGACAGCCAGGATCTTTCCGCTGATAAACTATTAAAATTCCACTCCCACCCCATCACTGATGTTTGACATCCATCCCATACTCAATTCCAGAACTCACTGACTAAGGAATAATCCCTTCCAACCCCACATCTATTCACCCTCATCCCCTTTTCCTCAGTACAACATCTAGGAACTAAGCATTTCTCAGAAACTACAGTGACAAATATAGAGGCCTAAGTGTTATGTAATTGCAGTACACTTCATGTCATTAAATGAATGAGTGCATTTGAGAAGAAAGAAAAATAAATGTGAGATGCATTTTGGAAGATCCAATTCAACAGCGAACTGTACGGTAAATGGAAAAGCCCTGGGGAAAATTGATGCACAGAGAGATCTGGATGTTCAGGTCCATTGTACCCTGAAGGTGGCAACGCAGGTTGATAGAGTGGTCAAGAAGGCATACGGCATGCTTTCATTCATCGAACGGGGTATTGAGTACAAGAGTTGGCAGGTCATGTTACAGTTGTATAGGACTTTGGTTTGACCACATTTGGAATACTGCGTACAGTTCTGGTCGCCACATTACCAAAAGGATGTGGATACTTTGGAAAGGGTGCAGACGAGGTTCACCAGGATGTTGCCTGGTATGGAGGGCACTAGCTATGAAGAGAGGTTGAGTAGATTAGGATTATTTACATTAGAAAGGGAGGTTGAGGGGGGACCTGATTGAGGTCTACAAAATCATGACAGGTATAGACAGGGTGGAGAGCAAGAAGCTTTTTCCCAGAGTGGGGGCCTCAATTACTAGGGGTCACCATTTCAAGGTGAGAGGGGAAAAGTTTAATGGAGATATGCGTGGAAAGTTCTTTACGCAGAGGGTGGTGGGTGCCTGGAACACATTGCCAGCGGAGGTGGTAGAGGCAGGCACAGTAGCGTCATTTAAGATGTATCTAGACAGGTACATGAATGGGCAGGGAGCAGAGGGATACAGATCCTTGGAAAATAGGTGCCAGGTTTAGATAGAGGATCTGGATCGGCGCAGGCTCGGAGGGCCGAAGGGCCCGTTCCTGTGCTGTAATTTTCTTTGTTCTTTGTTCTTTAAGATAGTACCAGCCCTGAATTTGGAAGAAGCATCTGATTTCTTTGCACTACCTTACAGCTTCAGGCCCTGAATTTGAAACAGACTGTCCTTATGCAGTTGATGATCATTGATCACTCCACAGGGAATTAATTGAGCACTTACTTGGCCTGTACAACAGTTTCACACACTGGAAAGTGCATTTACCAACTAAAAGAGAAGCATTTCTCATTTAATTTTTTTCTATGTTTCCACTTACCTCTTCTAAAAAAGGAAATCTACATTTCAGTGTCAAGATAAACTGAGTTAATCTGAAAGTTGCGGCTTCAAGCCCCACTCCAGGACTTGAACACATAGTGTATGCTGATTCTTCAGTGTGGTTCTGAGAGGATACTATTATGTTAAGAGGTGGTGTATTACGAATGAGATATTTAGCTAAGACTCTACCTGGCTGTAAAATATTTTGTGCCACTTTATTGAAGCAAGCAGGGAGCTCTCTTTCTGCTATTTATTTGTTTACTATGTTCAAAATTAGCTGGTGTGTTTACCCTCAATACAATCGTGACTAGACTTCAAAATTGATGAAACCATACTGTAGGCCTGCAAATTATTTCCCCACTTCATCTCAGATATGTCATTGATTTCCTATCGCAAAAGTCAATTTTTAAAAATATATTAGTTATAAATATCATTACTCTTTTATCTTTGAATAGTGTAAAACTCAACAAATAATGTTCTCACTTTTGTTATAATTCCCACAGAGACTGATAGGTTTTAGAAAGATACATGAATTCCAGGGAACATCTGAAAGGATCACATTAGATTTCAAATTTTAAGACTTTTATTGTAATTAACTAAAAGCAACATTGGAATAACACAGTTTTTACAAGTAACTCCAAATTTAATCCACATAATTTTTAAGCCATATGCCACGGTTGTACTTAATCTCTAAATAGACACTTTATTCCCCTGAAACCAGTCAAAAGATATTCTCCACTCCTGATGATGTGTTTTCCTTTTTCTTTTCTAGCCAGGCAACTTTTAATCCAAAATGACTTTTATGGTGAGAAGTGCCATAGAAATTCCTCTTTCTAGTCAAAGCTAAGCAAATCCAGCCTTAATTAAACCCTCATGAACTTGACCTCTCCAATCTGTGCTCCTACCTGACTTCTGGATGTTAAATGATAAAGACATCATTTTCTTTGCTTCACATGCAGAAACTGGCTCTCTCTCTCAGATACTTGAAGACTTTCTTGTCTCCGAGGGTTTCAGGAATATTTCAGAAAATCCCAGTAACCCAGTACTGCAATGACTTGTTGTAGACTCTTCCTTCTCAAAGCCCATCACCCAAGTTGTATTAATAACATGGGTTTTGTATCCAAATAAAGATACTAATTAGCTATTCTCCAGATCTCTAACTCTGTTCATTTTCATTGAAGTTAAGTAAATGTTTTGAAGTATAACCTTCCAGAAAAACTGATATTCTTTACACCTGCTTGTGAGACTTGAAGATTAATAATTTATCCACGACTCAGATGTTCTTACCATTGTCTGCAGATATGAGCATCTTGCACCTTCTCCCAGTAAAACAACCTGAGTCTTGCTTTCACCTTTAATTATCAAGCCACCAAAGCTTATTGTTGGGTAGAATTCAGAGAAGGTCACGTGACCTCATTCTTCCATTTTACTCAGAAGTTAAAGACACAGCCCTAAAACATTATAACATTATAAACATTGTATTTGTAACACTTTAATTTCACAATTTGCCTTTTTTCTTCATTTCCATTGCAGCTCCCCCACCACTGCCCCCAAAACATGTCCCAGCCACACCACCTCGCACAGGATCACCATCAGCAGAATGTTCAGGTAGGGATTTTTGGTTTAATGCTTTGTGGCACTTGAGTTTAATATAGCCAGCACGTTAATTACCTAGTGTATGGTCTTTTCAATGGAACAGACTTATGTGGAGCATAAATTGGCATCATAGACAAGTTGGCTGAATGGTCTGTTTGAGCTCTAGATTTAATGCAACTGTAAAGAGCTACAAATTAACCTACAACACATGGAGAAATACTATGCATTTTTAAGTGACCTTTTTTCAGCCTTTTTATGCATCTCTCAGTTCACACGTATGTTACTACTTTCCAAATTTTATAGTATTTAGTCAAGGTGATTCGATCACTGCATCTTAATTCCACTTTGAACTTATTTCAAAAAAAATTGTAATTTGAAGATAACCCCAGCATACTCGACCAGCAAGTGGATCACCTAGGCCAGGATCTTTCTTTTTTTGGACTAAGTCCAAAAGCAGGAGGGATTCCTAGAGAGAAACCTGGGAGTTACAAAGGTGGGAGAGCATTTTGGATCAATCTGCAATGAGGCAGTTGATTGGCTGCCATTGGGCTTTCTGCTAAATTTACGATCCTGGACCAAGAATTTCCGGCTGTCAAGAGCTGCCAGCCATTCCTAGGCCACAGAGCTCAAGAAATTGGCAGAGCCATGGTGTAGGCCATGGTAGCTGCTGTAACAACCCCAGCCCCTACCAGGTTCTCAGGATGAAAGAGCTCCTAGAGGAGAGGTAAGTGCATCTTGAGGGGTGGGCATTTTTAAGGAGTATATGACAGGGAAAGGAAAGCCATGGGGACTTTCAGCATGCCCTTGCCCAGTCCCTCAATCCTGCAGCAATTAGTGCAGATCAAGGGACCCTCTAAGGACAAGCAGGTAAGGTACTACATAGGATTCAACAGGCTCTAGGAAGGAGACAACACTCTAACAGTGTCCCTCTTACATATCTAATTCTCCCTTCTGGAAAGTACATGTATGACTGTCGGATGAAGAAATGACATAATTAAGTGCTGACACTCACTGTGTTGGCTCAGACATGAAAAAAGAAGTTGCTTGGCCAAAGTATCAAAAGGGTAACCCACCAGGCCAATGCTTTCAGAAGAATGGGAAGGGGGTAGGAGAAAGTGGTGCAGAGTGGCAAAGCATTGAGAAAAATGTATTTTCATCACTTTCTAAAAAAATGTTTCAAATCTGTTTCTTCGGTAATATTGAATTTTTCGATTTTTGACACTGATTGTTTGTATATATTCTTGAGTTTTGCTTTGTGTTTAATCTTTTGTCCTCTTGATTCCTGATTTTTTTCACTCTTTGAATTTTGAACTTAAGACCACACTATTCTGAAAGGCACCAAGTCAGACTTTGACGCAGCAACGCAGCAAGCTTTACCGAATTCAGCCCTTGGGACTATAGGGAGTGACCAGGGCAAAGCAGAGCCCCAGCCTGATAAACTGTTGTCTATCAGTGACCTGGATGATATTTTTGGCCCAGTTGTATCTCTCAGATCTGGAGTTATCCTGTCGAAGAACAAGTGGATTGATTTCTCTGATCAACATGCTAGCGATGAGATCTCACCAGTGGCTCTGGGTGAAAAGAAGTCCCTTGATGCCCCTCCGAGTGTTTCTGTGTCTCTAGACCATGACGGGAGTGAGAAAAAGAGTTCTGAGCAGGTTTTGGTCAAGAGTGAAAAGAGCGAGTCATCCTCCTCCCTGAAAGAGCTGGCAATGGTGCAAAAGACCACACCCCCTCCCCCTCCACCTCCTACCTACAGAACAGTGGTATCTTCTCCAGGACCCAGTTCAGGCAGTGGCGTATCCAACAGTAGTGGTACGTGGTGTTAGGTTAAACACTGCATTAGCATGTCCACACTGGAGCCAGCCACCACTAAGAAGCCTCAATGTCAGCAAAATGAGTGGCTTCCTCCTGCTTTTGTCCTGTTGTATTTGTGCTGTTCCATTCTGTGCTGAGCTCTGCTATTTTGTGTTCTTTTGAAGGAACGTGAGTCTGTAGTGACATTCCACGCACCCCTCCCCATAAAAGCTTCACCTCTAACCTTTTTACGAAACTGGCCGACAGGTTTTTACACTTTACATAGGATATTGCACATCCTGCAGTATCTTCCCACCCAGCAACACATCAAGGAATTGAGATTTCTGTTAAGGAGCGACTGGTCAATTGTACAAGATGTGACAGTTTAAAAGATCCTTTCAAAATCTAGTTTTAGATTCTTTGGAATTTTAATCTCTCGAAAGTATATTGACTAAACGTATGCCTCTGAATAGGACTTAGGACTACATCTGAGGTCAGAAATGGGCCCCTTTTATTCAAACCATCTCCATTATTATGTTGCTGATATTGCAACAGGACAGAAAGGCTGATATAGGGACCTGCAAACTTGGGTTCTTTTCTCCCCTCTTTGTGAGTCGCTGAGTCCTTTGGACAGTTAACCAAAAATGGTCATGGTTTCTGCTGTTCCTACTGCAGCTCTCTGGGTTTACAGAGTCACACCCTGGATGTAATCAGAGATACAAAACTCATAACTTTCTAATGATAATGAAACGCTAACGTCTCATTTTCACTTGATTGCTGTCAGTGATATATTATCTATATAAATAGAACGTCAGAGCCATAATAAGATTGAACTTCCCTGATAGTGGATAATTGACATGGCTCTGAACCATAGTGTTGAGAAGATCTCAGGTTTTAACTCTGGCCTGTGTTGCTTTCATTGACTCTGGTGAAGGACTGAATGCTACAATGAGAGTGCCACCAACACAAATAATTTAATCCTGAGTCCAGTGATTTGTAGTTTTCATTTTCAAGTGAATGTGCTTCAGACAGGAAATTTAATGTAAATTCCCAGCATGAAGGATGAGTAAATCATGAATATTGGCAATGCTACAGATTTCACCTCTTCAAAACAACTTGCTGTCAGCCAATTTCCATTACCTCCCTCAGACCTCTCCTGTTGTGTAATTAGATCAGATCTGTGTCTTGCTGAGCGCACTTTTTCTTCATTGGTTTATAACCATAATAGGAGTTTATGGTTATATGGCTTTTTTGTGCTGATGTTGCAGCTTCCATTAATCCTTTATTTGTTTGTATATCAATCTCCTTTCGCAAATATAGACGATGGGGATGGGAATGAATATGTACACTCACTTTGTAAGGAATTGTATTGCCTGCTGTAATACTTGATCACACAGACTACCAAAATCTACATTGATCTATGCTGCATTAACTGATCACAGTTAGGATATTAAAATTGTCTTTGGTGGCCTTGGACTGGGAGGAGAAAATTCGGTTATGGTTCTTGCAGGTCTATCCTGGGAATTCTACTGATCAATGGGTGTAACTGGCCCGTGGTGCAACCAGGTGCTATGGAATAGACTGCTCCTTTTACACCGACCCAATTTTGTCTTTCATTGACTTGAGCAGAAATAAATATCAGGCTAACTTGTATGACAAGTGGCTAAGTTGATGTTACACATTTTATGCCATTGCTGATGTTAACATTCACACCCCTACTCGTAGATATTAGACTCGACCATGGTGTGTACATTCTGCCAATACTTGCTGTTTAACCTCATATATGAAGAACAGCAAGAATCAGCATGTCAGAAGAGGAAGATCTAAATATATATTTAAAATCCAGAAGTATATTGTCCTTGCAGTAAAATGATCATTAATATGAGCTATGCTTTAGAGAGGACACCTATCATTGTTGAAAACAAATCAAACACAAAGAACATAGAAACAGGAGTAAACCATTTGATTTCTGTAGCCCCTTCTACTGTTCACCTGGCCAAGCTATGAGCAAACTCCATATAGTGTACCCACCTTTATAGCAGATTCCCCCAATTTCATTAGCTAACAAAAATCAATCCATTTAAGTCTTAAAATTAATAATTGATTTAGGATCTAGCGGAAGAGAGTTCAAAAATTCTATCACCCTTTTACACAAAAACTTGTTTCCTAATTTCACCTTTGAAAGGTCAGTCTAATTCTTTGATCGTGGCATCTAGTTCCAGATACAATTTCTCCCTACCTGCACTACCTGCACTCTTTGATATCTCCAATATTGTGATAAAATCACACTTAAACTTTCTAAATTTCTTCGTTTAAGTCTTAGTTTAACGGAACTTGCCACAGAATGATAGTGTCCCTACTTTTGTAGCAGGAGGCCCAGGTTCAAATCTCACCTTCTACAGGATGCATAGAAAATATCTGCAATTGTGTTTTGCTCAATCTCTCCTCATAGTTTAAATCCTTAGAGTCCTGGTAGCAATCTAGAAAATCTATATTGCACCTCCTCCAAGCCCCAATATATCCTTCCTAAGGCAATATCCTAAGGACATATAAGCACTCCAACTTCCAATTTTCTAGCTATGTTCATAGTTTTATTTTTCATGAATCTGATGTAATAATTATGTTCAGTTATAATTGAATAGTCTTTTGGCATGTACCAGACAACAAAAATGGTCAATTTTATAACATAGCGGTGAGCTGCTAACACCACTGAAAATACAGCAGGAATCAATGGGGTAGATTTCTAAAGTTCATGTGGTAATAGCTGGATAGTGGGGAGATCGGTCTTGCACAACATTCCTGGGTGGGTTGGTGTGTGTGTGTGTGTGTTTGTGTGTGTGTGTGTGTGTGTGTGTGTGAGAGAGAGAGAGAGAGAGAGAGAGAGCGAGAGCGAGAGGGAGGGAGAAGGTGGGGTTTTGTGCTGGTGTGTGTAGAGTGGTGGAGGGTGTGGAGGGTTACTGTTTGGCCAGTAAAGGCCAATTAAGGGACCAGAACTTTTGTGGGCTCAGAGAAGCAAGAAACCTGTCCTCCCTCAGTGCTAAGGTATCCCCCATGACGTGTAAAATTTAAAAACATGTTTACTTATTTTTAGGTTCTTCATCTCCTGCCCGTCCAGCAACACCATTGAACGTGACCAGTAACACTCCTCCTCCTCCACCACCTCGCCCTCCATCGCGGCCTAAACTGCCTCCTGGAAAACCTAGTGTTACCGACATGGTACGTTCTGGTGTTCTACTATATATTCATTATATTTAAACTGTTACTGGAAAGGTAACAAAAAGGAATTGTTAATGTGCTGCTCAGAATCTGCAGAGAGAGTCATTTCTTGTAACTGGTCTCTGTGGGGTTGAGGGCAAATCAGTCCAATAACTGGACAGTGATGGATTATTACACGTCAGATTTCTTCTCTGCCAACCATCAAACACAGGCTAGACCATGAGAATGTGAATCAAGATCCAGTCACATCTAGTATTGACTCTGATTTACCATCGGCATGCGATCTCAAGAACGGGATGATGGCAGTGGGATGGAATTCAGCAGGAAACTGCATTAGGATGGTTCCACTGACACATTCCCGACATTGGGAAATTTTCCAGCGTGGACCAACAAGACAATGGACTGCTGACAACAGTGGATAGCCTATTCTAGGTCCAAATAAGGGGTGAGTAGAGCAGTCCCTGGCATACGCCAGTGGCCGATTGGTGAGTCCACCATTTTAAATGAAGCAGCCTCCCTGTGGCCATTTGCAAAGGGGTCAGAGGGGGAAGGCATCAGAGTTAGCGGATCCAACTTCCAAAAGTGCGTTACAGCTGCCTTGTTATAATAGTGCATGATATATTCTGACCCACAGCAAGTCCCAGTCGCCAAACATCCCTATGTTTCTGACTTTCATTATTTCCAAATGCAACAACATCTCAGCTTAAAGAATTTAATAATTGTTTTCAAATCAATCCATGGCCATGCCTCTTTATCTCCATCACCTCTCCATCCTTGCAATATTCATTGATTTCAGTCATCTAAAACAGAGATGAGGAGGAATTTCTTTATTCTGGGTAGTGAATCTTTGGACCTCTGTATTTCAGAGGGCTGTAGAAACTCGACTGTTGAGTAGGTTCCAGACAGAAATTGATTGGATTATGGAGACTAATGACTTTCAGTGATGTGGCATTGAGAATGTGATCAACCATGATATAGAATAGCCTATACCTGATCTTATGTTCCCCTAGTTCTTCCCTCATTTATACACCCAATTTCCTTAACACCTCACCATGATGAACTTCAGTTGTTCTTCAAACCCCTTGAAATCCCAAGTTTCATTTACGTTTTGTCCACTCCATACATTTATGATTTTCTAAGCGTTCCTTTTGCCTTGTGCAGTAGAGATTGCTGTAAGCATCTGAGATCTTTTCCTTATTGGCCTTTTTTAATCATATTTTGCAAAACGCTTCAATACTGGCTCTTATTATTGATATTGGTCACCACTTACGGATGCAAGAAACAATTTTCAGAAAATAATTCACTAACAGTAAAATGTATACAAAACCCATTAGTTGTGAATACACTTGAATGTTATCTAGAACTGAAGCAGTCATAAGTATCCAGCAGAGCAGGAAGGGCTGAAAATGGTGTCCGTGTTAGAAGAAACTCTAGGTCACAATTTTTATTCCTGGATTGAGTGTGCAGAGGCAAGAAAACCCCTAGCACCATGACCTTGACGCTTAGAAATGTTTGATTTGGGAGGGCAAGCTGAATTGGAAGTCAGGCCTGGTGAACCATGAGCAATTGAGGCATCTGCCAGTTGCCAAGGTTGGCTCAGTGGAAAGTCCACCTCAGGGCTCCAGCGCTGTGTCCAAAAAGTAAAGTGCGATAGACATAAAACATTGAACGCCTCAATCTTCCAATTCCTGTCATCCCCATACACTCCTCTTGCACCATCCACCAACACAACAGTAATCTTTTGACCCCTACCTACCCTCATGAAACTTGGTAGCTCAGGTTGTGGATGCTGTTGTTCATTTGCTCACCAAGCCGGTTGTTCCGTGGTGTGCAGACATTTTGTTACCATTCCAGGCAACATTATCAGTGCGATCTCTAATCAAAGCATTGGTGTTCTGCTCCATTCCGAATTTATATGATCCTCTGGTGTGATGGGTCTTGTCACTTTCGGTTCTGTCCTTTTTAGCAGTGGTCTGTATATGGGGTCCACTTCTATGTGTTTGTTAATGGAGACTCGTGTTCCAAATCAGGCCTCCAGAAATTCCGTTGCATGTGTGTTGTTCACTTGGCCCAGTTGAACAGATGGTCCTCATTGTCTGTGTGCATTGAGACAAGTTAATATTGGTCATGTCTTTTTCCTGCCAGCTGGTGTTTGTGTGTCCTGGTCATCAGTTTCCTCCCTGTTTGTCCAATGTAGTGTTTATTGCACTCACTGCATGGGATTCTGTATATCACATTAGTCCTGTTTACTGTTAGTATGGGGTCTTTAGTCTTTGATAGCATTTGATGCAGTGTTGATGTAGGTTTGTGTGCAATCACAATCTCATGCGGTCTGAGGAGTCTGGTTGTCATTTCTGACATATTTTTCATGTAGGGTAGCGGTACTAATGTTTTCTGTTGTACTGTGTCTTCTGACTGTCATTTGTTTTGTAGGCATTGGTGGATGAAACTTCTTGGGTATCCGTTGTCAGTAAATACTTTGTGCAGGTGTTCCTCTTCCATTCTCCAGAGTTCTGGGGTGTTGCAGTGTGATATAGCTTGTTTATATAGTGTCTTACTGCAGCTCTGTTTGTGTATGGTGGGGTGCCTGCTATTGAAGTTCAGGGTTTGTCCTTCCGGGATACTCAGACATAATGGTAGAGAGACTAACTAACAGCTACTTCCAGACCTAAGAACAGGTGCTGTTTGTTGTGTTCTTTGGCTCTAGTGAATTTTATGCTTGCAAAGATGTTGTTAACAAGTTGGTGAGTCTCTTCTACTTTTGTGCATTTGATTATTACGAATGTGTCGTCCACGTATCTTACCCACAGTTTCTGTTGGATCATAGGAAGGGCTGTGTGTTCCAGTCTGTGTATCACTGCTTCTGCGATGAGACCTGAGATGGGTGATTCCATTGGTGTGCCGTTGATCTGTTTGTGTACCTGGCCATTGAACATGAAGTGTGTTGTGAGACATAAATCTAGTAGTTTCAGTAAGTTGTCCTTGCTGGTGGTGTTGTTGGTGTTCAGGGTCAGTGCTCTTGGTCCTTCCAGTAGTGTGGCTAGTGTCCCTCTGGCTAACGGTTTGTCAATGGACATAAATGGTGCTGTAATATCGAACAAGATCATGATTTCGTCCTCGTCAATTTTTGTGTCCCTGAGCTGTGTGGGAAATTCTTGGGCCAAATGGATTGAATGTGAGGATCTGCTAATCAGGTGTTTAAGTCTCCATTGTAATTCTCTAGCTAGCTTGTGTATAGGTGTGCCTAGTAGGAGGACTCTTTGTCCAAGTGGGATTCCAGGTTTGTGTACCTTGGGGAGTCCGTAGAAGTGAGGGGTGTTTGAGCCATCTGGTTTCATTCTGACTCTGTGTTAATGATCTCTCCTGCATGTTTAAGTTCCTGAAGTGTCTGCGTTAACCTGTTCTCTAGCTGTGGTGTGGGGTCTGACGCCACCTGTTGGTATGTGGCTGTATCTGTGAGTAGTGCCTGTGCTTTCTCGATGGAGCCTGTTCTGTTCAGAACCATGGTCATTCTTCCTCGGTCTGCGAGTAGAATTGTGATGTTTTTATCTTTCTTCAGTCTTTCAAGGGCCTTTTTCTCAGCTGTGCTGAAAGTGTCTGATTCGTGTTTATGGTTAAGTCCTGGGACTACTGTTTGCCTGATGGCCTGTTGAATTTTCAGCGTTGGTTTTCAGCATTGACTCTAGTGCTGCTAAGAAATCTGTTTTGCTCGCGTCCTTGTGCATTTATGTCCGTGTATCAGGACAGCTTTTACTGTGTCTGTGAATTGTTTGTCAGATAGGTTCCTTACCCAAATGACTGCTTTGTTGTGTCATCCTGGTGGATTACTCCAGTTAGTTTCTCCTGTAGGTTGAGTCTTTTCCTTGTTCTGGTTCTCTGTTGTTTAATATTAATGGCTTGTTCCAGTATTATGGTCCACTGTTGGTTGGTCGAGTTCTGGTACAAAGATTTTTGGCACGCAATTTCCCGCTTGTATCGGTGGAGATGGTTGTGGGTGTCAGTGACCATTGCCTATAGCACTCTGCAGTCATTTTGCTCTGTTATCCTTCTTGCTTGTGGATTGTTTAGTGGTGGTTTGTATTTTATGCTGCGAGGTAGTACCCGGTTCTTGCGGCATTCATGTAGGAAGTGAAGTTGTTCGTGGGTAGCACATAGTTGGATGGCATAGGTTTCCCATATATTTTTGATGTAGGGTAGCGGTACTAGTATCTTCTGTCGTACCGTGTCCTCTGACTATCATTTGTTTTGTAAGCATCGACGGATGAAACTTCTTGGGTATCTGTTGTCAGTAAATACTTTGTGCAGGTGTTCCTCTTTAATTCTCCAGAGTTCTGGGGTGCTGCAGAGTGAAATGGCTTGTTTAAATAGTGTCTTAATGCAGCTCTGTTTGTGTGTGGTGGGGTGCTTGCTATTGAAGTTCAGGATTTGGTCCACATGTGTCCTCCCTGTACACTCAGGTCCAGAATTAGCAGTTAGTTACTGTTTCGGGGGGGTGGATTTGGATAGGTGCAGGCACATGTAGACAGGTTGGGTGGGGACCTGGGAGGTGTGAAGCCAATGAGCTTTATAGTGTGGATTATTAGGAAGGGGATTTGGATGCTCAGAGGCTCATGTTGTGGTAGTACCTGCAAACCACTGGCCGAGGAACTCTCACCATCACCTTCCATTGTGCTGAAAATTAGAAGTGTGCAAACAAAATGGCAGTGCCTGTGTGGGTGGAGTAAGTGACTCATCCTGTGAGGCAGGGGGCCTGCAGGACTCACTCACTGATGACCAAGCTTTTAAAGGGAAAGAGCATCACACACAGACCCATTTACTGGACATGATACAGACCTGCAGGGTCCCTAGTCCCTGGCCATCCTAAATCATTGCCCCCTTTTGGGTGTTGCACCTACCTTCAACATACCCAGCTGGCCAACTCAATGACAGCTACAGTTTAGACTAGAGAGGCCATGAAACAATAAGAATTCTGTTTGAAGAAGGCCAGAGTTGTCAGGATTTTCTGATGCCAAGTGTACCCCATGCTGCTCTTGCTTTGAGATGATGCAGCAGGCTCTCAGCACAGGGTTCCGTCAATGAAACCTTGTCTATGGCCATGACATGATGCTGGATGGTGTAACAATGCCTTGCGGGCCTACACCGAGAGACTAACAACCAGATGTAAATAAATGTATACAAGACTTTGTAATCATTACAAGCCATTGCCAAACATTCCACCAGAAAAAAAAGAGAGTGGGAATCTGGAACTCAGTGCCTGGTAGAGTGGTTGAGGCAGAAATGTTGATACCATCAAAAATAGTATTTAGATGTGCATTTGTGATGCCAAGATATATAAGGCTCTGGGCTAAGTCCAGGAAAATGGGATTAAAATAGTCAAGTGCTTATTTTTGATCAAAGCAGATTCAATATGTTGGAGGGCCTTTCTCAGTGCTGTAGACCTCAATGACACTTGAACTATGATTTTAACACTCACTCCCACTATGCCTTACGATCCCCCTCGATTCCACTGTTGAGGTGGAGGGAACCTGCTCAGCAGAGGAGCCTGTTGGCTCTGGAGTTTTAATCAAGTGACTCAGAGTGACTTGGGACAAGATGGGTCAGACATGCCTAGGGTCCTCTTGTCAGAGGCAGGTTGACCCTCCTCAATATAACCTTCCATGGGTTAGAGAAAGGAGGCAGGCAGCATGGAGCTGGAGGGCCTGACCACCTCTACAATGTCCTGAGCACAGACTACCGGGGGTATCTTTGTATGATTCCTCCTCCAACCAAGTGCCACCTGGCAATGCCCTGCCTGCTGTAGGATGAGCTATCTGGAGAGCTCTTCAGGTTCCCCATTCCCTCTGTTGTCGTGCCTTCAGTCCTGAAAACCAGTGGCTGGGCCACTGGAGCTCAGGTGTTAGCGTCTCTCCAGCAGTCCCTGAGGGTGTTGGACCTGTCTGTCCATGGCAGCTGCCAACTGTCCATGAAAGCAGCACTGAGTAATGAGAGCCATTGTGTGCCATGGGCCCGTCTGCACTGCTATTCCTCCCTGTGCATGTGGATTGCTGTTCCTGATTGCTGACACTACAGGCTCCTCTCCTCTCCCGTGTGGGGCTGAGCAGGAACCTGGTCTCCAAATCACCCACATCCGCCCGCAACACCCACCTCCCCCACCCCATGTGCACCAGTGCAACAGCCTGGGGCATTTCTTCCTCGGGGTGGAACTACTGGCTAGATGGTGCACTCACACTCACCAAGTCTACCATTCTCACCAGTGTCAGTATGGGATGCAGGAGGCAGTTTGGCCAATGTCCCCTTGAAGACCTTGGTACTGTTGTCCTCAAAGGTTGAAGAGGTGGCTTCTGGAGATATTTCTGCAGGGAAGGAGGTGTTGGTGGCACCTGCAAGACACAGGAGAGAGAAAGAGTCACACCAGTGGTTAGAAGTGGTGTGTGATGATTGAGACTGACAGTGGGGTTAATGGGAGTGTTGCACTGGGATGAGGTGTGGTACTTAGCTGACCAGACAAGGATGTCTCTGCATCCCACATCTTCCCAAGATGGCCAGGATTCTCTCTTCGTAGAGAGCCCAATGGTGGGTACCCCATTCATGTTCTCTCTGCCTTGTTATGAGTTATCTACTCGTGTAAGATGAGGAGGAAGGGATTGAGTGAGATGAAAATGAGTGGCATGCCTGTTAGTCCTGGGGCAGGGGTGGTTGAAAGGTGCTGAGGTGTTTTGAAGGAGTGAGGAGGCAGCACAGAGTGTTTGCAGGGTTTGTGGTATGAGAGGCAGGGGGTAGGGTGAGACCATGAGGGAAGATGCTGCAGGCAATAGAGTGGTAAAGCATGAAACCTGATGGAAGGCTGGTGCAATGACAGACAAAGAGTGTGTGTGAGGAGCAGAGAGAAGAATGTGGCACTTACCCTGTTGCAGCAGAGAAGGTTGTTGTCACTGTGGAGATGGCACTGACCTGGCTGGTGACTGTAGACCAGGCTGCCAGCCTCTGGTGGCGTGGCCTTCTCTGTCTGTCCTCTGGGAAGAGGACAGCTCTCCTTTGCAACATCCCTTTGGTCAGGACCAGCTCCCTGGTGGAGGATCACAGTGCCATCTTCCCCTTCCCTGACATCTTCCCAATCTATCCTTGCCTGTGGAATGCCAGTGCTGATCTGAGCACACAGCCTTTGAAAGATGCGGTTACAGTCAGTGCCTGCGACATTTGCCGAGTGGACAGTTGTTCTGAAAACTGCACATGGTAAGATTAGGCTGGAACGGACAGACGCTGTAGGGTGAGGTAGGTAGCCCATGCAGAGAGTTTGGTAGCAAGCAGTCAGAAAAGTCACTGGGCCTCAATCGCTGAAAAATTCCCAACGGAACCAAGCCAAAAATATGAGATTCTGCCCATTTTGACAGCTCTTGGCAGTTTCGATGCTTCTTGTCACTTTGACAGCTTTATAGTTAGTTCCTTACAATTGGTTAGCACGTTTTAGGCACCACCTTCTGTACTGTTAACAATACCAAAGGATACCTGATTAGTTGATTTCAGTTAAAGGAACAGTTTGGGTTAAATTGGATGGAGTAGTCCTTTGAGCCAATTTTTAACACTTGTTTGCATTCCACTGAATCTATGTTCAAGATATCAGATAAAGCCAACGTTAGGCTAGGTTGTAATGCTGATTAAAGTTAAATAAGTTGCAAACAAACATTGTCTTGTCTCACGCATAAGATATGCAGACCTGATGACATTCTGGAGGGCTGGCAAAGCTGAAGAATACATTAGATATATTCATTTTACCTTCAAAGCAGTAAATGGGAGGAAAATTCAGGATAATTTCAAACTTACCACAAGTTCTACTGCATATACCTTATACATCAATCTCATAAAGTAAATGATGAAATGTTTATTCAGAAATGCAGTGTAATTTGATCTGAAGTAAGGTACATTTTAATAACCAGGTATTTTTTGATTTATGTTTTACAGTCCAGGTCTTTTAGTCCTCCAATACATTCATCTAGTCCTCCACCAGTAGCACCACTAGCTCGAGCAGAAAGCACTTCCTCCATATCGTCAACTAACTCACTGAGTGCTGCCACCACCCCTACAGTCGGTAAAGTATTCTTCTTAAACTTTCTTTGTGTCCATAAAATATTAAACATGCAACAAATATTGCTGTTTGATTTCAGGAATCTATTTTCAAAGATCTTTCTTTGAACGTCTGTTTTCCTTCTTACTATCTGCAAACACAAAATAAACAAAAACCGAAAGAACTGCGGATGCTGGAAATCAGGAACAAAAACAGAAGTTGCTGGAAAAGCTCAGCAGGTCTGGCAGCATCTGTGAAGGGAAATCAAAATTACTGTTTCGGGTCAGGGGACTCTTCTTCAGAACTGATGGTAGAAAAAGTTGTTTTTTATGCAGAAGATAGGGTGGGGAGAGGAGATAAAGAGTAAACAATAGATGGGGATAGAGCCCAAAGAGAGAGAACTGTTGGACAGGCAAAGGAGTGGATAACAGTCAGCCTAAGAGAACGAATAACAATGAATGGGAACTATTAGTGGCTAACAATGGTCGTGTGATAACAAGGCCTGTTGTGTGGGGTTTGGTGTAAAGACACGGGAGAAGGTGCCCCAAGCCTTAAAATTGTTGAACTCAATAATGAGTCCAGAAGGCTGTAGCTTCCTCAAGCAGAAAATGATGTGCTTTTCTTCCAGCTTGCACTGAGCTCTCCTGGAGCACTGCAGCAAGCCTGAGATAGAGATTTGGCCAGGGGACAAGATGGTGTGTTGAGGTGGCAGCCAATTGGAAGCTCAGGGCCTTTTTTGCAAACAAAACATAGGTGTTTTTGCAAAGCAGTCAGCAGTCTACACATCGTTTCCCCAATGTAGATGAGATGACATTATGAGCAGCGAATGCAGTAGACTAGATTGAGTGAAGTGCAGGTAAAGTCCTGCTTTACCTGGAAGGTGTCTTTGGACCCTTAGATACTGAGGAGAGAGGAAGCAAACCTTCCTTGTTACACCTTCTGTAATTGCAGGGGAAGATGCCCTGGGGCTGTTGGGTGGTGTTGGGAGTGAAGGAGGAGTGGACCAGGGCATCTCATAGGAAACTGTCCAGGCAGAAGGCTGGAGGGGAAGGGAATATGTGTCTGGTGGTGGCATCCCACTGGAGGTGGTGGAAATGGCCTTGGTGGTGGCTCTGGATTTGGATGCTGGTGGGATGGTAGGTGAGGACAAGGGGGAACACTTTCACTATTGTGGGAGGGAAGAGAGAGACTGAGGGCTGAGGTGTGGGAGATGGGTGGGACCTGCTGGAGGGCCCTGTCAACTTTGGTGCTCGGGAATCCTAGGTTAAGGAATAAGGTGGACATTTTGATGCCGAAATTTCCACAATTTCTGATGCAAAGCAAACACTTGTATGAAAACAGTTCTTAATCACTTCATGTTAACAATATATTAATTCCAGTCTGTCCTGAGTCATCTCATCTCAGCTCAGTGGAAGTAGGTCAGTGATGCAATTTGCCTCAAAACCCCTGAGCTAGATAAGGGATGATTGCAATCTGTCCCTTTCTGTCTCACTGCGCAGTGATTCCTACTGTAAAGTGTATGAATGTTATTGCTATAGGGCTATATCAGGCTGGACTGTGATGTCCCCACAATTGACTAGACTTCGGATTAAAATGCATTTTGGACCCACTGCATGGGCATTTGAAGAAGATATCAAAGGGCAGCTAACACTGGGGAGCCATAACCAATCTGGATTCAGTGTTTTAAGGAAAGGATGGCAAGAAATGGAATATATTCCAAAATAAAAGAACACGTAGGAAATAATTTTAATTTCCATTTTATGGATGAATTTCAAGGTGGATAGCTATAGTCAGCAGACTTCTGTGATAAAATTTTATTGTTTAACATGCACAGATTGGAATTTTTCTTACTGAGTGATCACCACTTCTAAAAATTGGAAACCACCTCATCACCTTGAATGAGCAGACCTTAAATTCAAAATTGTGTGAGTTCCAAAATATAAATGTGTAAGGATGGATTAATTAAAATGGTTTAATTTCCATGCTTTCAAAGACTTATCCAGAAATCACCTGCAAGCTCAACTGTTTAAAGCCATGCCACACAAATCAGGAAGGCTTAAGTTTATTATTGGTTAACTGATCGAAGTCAAGCTGGAAGTACAGGTTACTGTGCTGTGGGATAGGCACAGGAAAGGAATCCAGGGTCCCCAACCCTGCTTGAAATGACCTTGATGGAAATATCTACCTAGGTATTTGTAGTGTGCTGTTCTGATCAGATAACTGGGGGTCACTCAGGCAGGGGAAGGCAGGTTTATGTACATACACACATATTGGGGTTGGTTCAGAAGACTAACATCATCCCACCCTCTTCTGGGTTTAAAGTTTTTGAGAAGATTTGTAGCTCAGGTTGTGGACGAGGTCGTAGGCTTGCTCACTGAGCCGGTGTGTTTGGTTGCAGACGTTTCGTCACCCTGCTTGGTAACATCGTCAGTGTGCCTCCGGTGAAGCGTTGGTGTTCTGTCCCACTTGTTATTTATATGCCTCAGTTTGCTGGAGTGGTAGGTATTACTTCCGGTTCTGTTTTTCAGTGGGTGACGGTGTTAGCTCTGTAACAGACCACAACAAGAAGACACAACACGGCCAGACACACTAGTCACCCTACCGTCCATCAGATACATATCAGAGCTGACCACAAGACTACTCAGACCCTGAGGTATCAGGGTAGCCCACAAACCAATAACCACTCTGCGACAGCTACTGGAGAATGTGAAGGACCCCATACTCACAACCAATGAAACTAACGTAATATATAAAATACAATGCAAGGACTGTGAGAAACATTACATAGGCCAAACTGGAACAAAACTGACAATAAGGATACACAAACACCAACTTGCCACCAAGATACACAACCAATTCTCACTGGTCCCAAAGCACACAGGCAAAGAACACAAATTTGACTGGGACAACACATCCATAATTGCAGAAGCCAAACAGAGACATATCGATGCCTGGCGTTCCAACCGGAATTCCATCAACAAACACATTGAACTGGACCCATATACAAACCACTGAAAAACAGAACTGGAAGTAATGCCAACCACCCCAGCAAACCAAGGCATATAAATAACAATGTTACCTAGCAGGGTGACGAAACCAAACACACCAGCTCGGTAAACATGTCTACAACTTCCTCTTCTGGGTTTCTGCAGGGCGAGATTGAAAACCTGCAGTAACCCGCTTTGGGTCTGTTGCTTCAATTATTAAAAGCAATGTAAAAACTAATTAAGAACGACCTCCATTCTGCCCTTCCCAACCAGGGCATCTGTTTCCCAACATGGCAGCAGCTCTCCTATGGGTCTGTAATGAGAATACACAGCTGGGAGAGTTTCTTCAGTAAAACTGGAGAGATGTAAATGCTTTGTTCAGTGACAGTGCAGAGCTGCAGCAATGATCATTGAGAGACTGCTGTTCAAAGCACATCTTCCCTCAAAATGGCCTTCGCTACTTGACACATGCTGACTTGGACTGCGCTTCACTTAGCTTCAGTTACACGTCCCTGCTGCCAGCTTTCACCATAGAATCGGACCACCCTACCTTCCACCTCTGATCAGAGGAGAGAGCTGAAGCAATGTCACTGCCCATGGCTCTAGTTGCAGCAGAAGCAATACCACCAGCACTAGTTGCTTTCTCTTCAGCCTCATGTGCTTCCAAAGGACACAGGGAATGAAAGTAGATGTCCAGCTAAAAGGTGGAAAGACATGCCCCCCTCTCCCCACCTGCAAACATAATGTCTGCAGGCAGAGAGATGCTCATTCTCTCAAGGTGTCTGACTCCCAGTGCCTCAGGAGCCCCAGGTGCTGTCTGTAGGTTTCTGCTGATACCTGCACTCTTCTGGACCAAAGCCTCCTTCCCAGTGCAGCAGACGGGAACACATTACTAATGGCCCCCAACTTTGCCACCAGATCTCTTCCTTTTGCCAAGTTGAGTGCTGTCTTCTGCAAGCAGAGAAAGAAGAGGGGTGAGAGTATTCATTGTAGCTTGAGAGAAAAGAAGAAAGAGTACCTTTTGAGGAGTGTGAGAGGTCAATAGGCTGAGTGAAGTTAACCATTGACTGTTCAGATGGGGATGTGGGATGCCTGCGGCAGGAGGAATGAATGAAGCTGAAGGTGTATTGTTCTGATTGGTACAGTGTACGAAGATGCTGGAGAAGTCAGTCAGAGTGTTTAGGTTTCCATCATGAAGTGTGATATCCTAGATCCTCTTGGTGCACTGTCTCCAGTTTGTAGGATCCACACTCCTGATGTGATGTCCTCACGACTTCCATCCAGACCTGCTTGATCTGAGAGGTCATCCTCTTCCTCGTGTGCTTGGGAGGACTTACCTCACTGCAATCCCTTGGACACCAGACATAGAACTTCCAGGCTACAGTGAAGCCTTGGTAGCAAGTCTCCTCTCCATTTTAATATTTGCTGCAATCTCAGAAGTCTGATTGCTGGTTAACTCTTATAATTCAGGCCATGGTTCTTTTAATTAGTCTTTCCTTAGACAGAATGGATCTCATTTCAACAGCATTCACTGTTTGTTCAGGGAAACCAGAGGTGGAATGTTAACGTGTGACTTTGGGAACTCATGCCCATTGGTGAATTCTAGTAGGGCCTAGCAGAAAATGTCATCCATTGTTACACAGTGGTCAGCTGGATGAGGCACTGAAGGGGAAGTCATACCCCAGCAGCAAAGAATCATTGACTTCAGGAGAATGGAAAAAGTACCGATAGAAAATACAAAGGAAAAGTTACAGTAATCTTTGAGATTGACAGCAGCTGCTCTGCAAATAACTTTCGATGACCCCATGCTGATATCAAAGACTTTTGTCTTATGATTTTCTCCATTTTGCCTGTTCCAGAAAAATTAGTCAGTTGTTAGACTGCTACCACTGACATTGCTGAGAACAGCTGACATAGCACAAACTGTAATTTGAATTAGACTAAGTTGTTTTCTAATCAACCTGTTCAGAGACATTACTCCTCACGTCTGTAGCAGTGAGGCTTGATCCCAGCCCTCCTGGCTTAGAGATAAGGACA